GGCTGGCCAGGAGGGGGCCAGGGGGAGCTGGGGAAAAGAATCAGCCGGCGGGGAGTGGGACTGACTCGGGTGCACCAGGGCGCTGCCCATCCCGCGCACTGTCCTGGTGAAGCACAAGCAAGTCCAGCCCCAAGCCCCGCCCCCCTCACGTAGTTGCATATCGCCTGGCTGGTAGATATGCTCACTCAGCAGGAGCGTGTCGACCAGCCAGGCAGTTCCCAACTAGGTATTGATACTCCTAATAATATTAAAAGTGTCCTAATTAGAAAATACTCGACATTTTATATGTCCGGTATTTTCTCAATTTGTTTCCCGGACAGAATCCTCAAATATTGGACTGTCCAGTTTAAAACCGGACTCCTGGCAGCATAGAGGCAGGGCCACCTCCAGATGGGTGCCAGGCCCTGGATAACCCCTGAATCTGCCCCAGGCGCGGCCTATTCTCACCCCTGCTCCACCTTTGCCCTGCCGACTTACTACGCCCCTTCCCTAAGCCCCCATAGCTAGCAGGCAGAGAGCAGCCACAAGCCTTGGCAGACAGCCCCGGGTTCCCATCCCACCGGCCATGTCTCAAAGGGAGCTCCAGAGGGTTGGCCCCTGTGACAGACCGGGCCGGGTCTGGGGACAGCTTAGGGCATCCGCTCAAGGCGAATTGCTCAAAACCAGGGCTCCTTACAGCCCCAAACTGGAGACCTTCGCAAACAGGCCACAAACCAGTCACAACAAGCGCTTGAGCTGCCACTCCGGCCAGCAGGAAGCCTCACAAGCAAAACCCCTCAGATACCCCAGCTCTCTCTGTGCCACAATCAGCCCCGGGCCTAACACAGGTGAGGGGTTAAACAACCCAATCCCACCTACCCCAAACGGGTCTTTCTGGTCCCAAGAAACCAGCCACAGTTCCCAGGGCAAGTTACACTTTGGACCTTACCCACAAGATCACGCTGGGCCAGTCCTTTAGAATCTACAATCTAAAGGTTTATTAATAAAAGAAAGAAAAGCAGGCGAGTGAGGTTGTGAAGGAGAATACGTTACATGCATCGAATCACCAGGTTCTCAATGCAGGCTCTCAGCAGAGATGTTAGAACTAATCGCTTAAAAGTCTCTGGTGCTCATCCTATGTCAGGATGGGCCAACGATTCTTCCCGGCTCGCTGTCCCTCGCAAGGCTGCATCTGGAATCAGTAGCAGAATTGAAGGCCAGATGGAGTCTGCCTCATGGCATGTTACATCCGTCCCTGGTATCATCCAAGCTGGAGCAGGTCACATGGCCCAGTGACCTATCCCTGTGCCCCATGTCAGCAGCCATGACACACTGGCTGGGTTGCAGGTCCCAGACACGTTCCTCAGGTGTGTATTGGGCACCTTGAGAGTCTTGTCCCTGGAGTCTGGCTAATTAGCACAGTCACTGACCGATTGCTGGCCCATTGCTCTGTCTCAGACAGAGAATCTTCCAGCATCAACACAGAGCCCATATGTATAACTCCACATACAGATATCACGAGTAACATACATAAAAGCAGTACAACATCAGCTTTCATTTGACATCTCACATGGCCCCCTTTGTACAGACTTTGGGGCAACCTCCACCCTTGGGTGCAGCAGTGCCCTGTCTGATCCCCTTAAAATCCAGTAACGTGACAGCCCCCCGACTCCGCTGGGCCGGCCGTTCGAGCACCACGCGCCTCGGCTTGTTAGAAACCATCATGGAATTTCAGGCCTGAATTCGCTGCAGGCCAGTTTCTGTGCCTGGGGGCCTTAGCAAAATCACTTCTCTCCCTCCCTGGCAGTCACCCCTCCAACGCGTGGGAAGGTTCTGTGCTGGGCGCGCCAGCGGCAGCCCTGGGGAGCTGGACTGGAAGTCACACACCTTGCCGCCTTGCCACTGGGCCGAGGCAAGGACCAGGCTGTCTGTCTCGAGGAGAGGGGCTGCTCCAGCCAGGGTGCAAGCCAGGGCCTCTGTGTGCCCAGGGGTCTGCGCTGGAAGGGGGGGGTCAGAGCTGTAGGGACAGAGGGAACTGGGCAAGAGGGGCCTGTGGCTCTGTACCAGTGAGGGAGGTGCAGGCGGGAGGCCGGGGTAGATGGGCCCGTAGGCTTCCTGTGGCTGGAGCTTTCCCTGTGGCAGCTCTGAGGTGTTTGTATCACACCTGCCCTCAGCCATTTGTTGGTTCGGCTGAACAAGCTCTTTGAGTCTCCTGCCATCAGGTAGGTTTTTCATTCCTCTGATCACCCTGGTATCCCCTCTCGGCACCTGGGCCAGCTTGAATTCATCTTCCTGGGGTCTCACCAGTGTTGGGCAGGGTGGTACTAGCACGTCTCTGTCACTGCTGGAAATCCCTTGCACGTAGCTGTTTGTGTGGCTCCCTTGACCCGGTGGCCAGAGGCCAGTACCCCCAGGTCCTCCGCCCCCTCTGCTGCGTCTGACTGAGAGCAAAAGTTCTTCCTAGTCCCTCCTAGCATGCTGACCTCGTCCGCCCCCCAGCCGCTCCGTGCAGCCTGGCGCCAGCCCCTACGTGACTGGCCCACGCCCGCTCTCTGTACTGGGGCAATGAAAAGACGGTTGGGGCACGAGGCTTAGGGTGCACAGTGAGATGGGGACCCAGAACTGAACTGCCAGATCCTGCCCCCCCCCAAAAGTTCTTCCTAGTCCCTCCTAGCATGCTGACCTCGTCCGCCCCCCAGCCGCTCCGTGCAGCCTGGCGCCAGCCCCTACGTGACTGGCCCACGCCCGCTCTCTGTACTGGGGCAATGAAAAGACGGTTGGGGCACGAGGCTTAGGGTGCACAGTGAGATGGGGACCCAGAACTGAACTGCCAGATCCTGCCCCCCCCCCATGTGCCCCT